TAAAAAAGGCCCGTTGTATTAATGCATGAGGGTGGCCTAATTTAACTCTGCTTTTTGTATTAGTTTTTTTCGGCGTTCGGACCCGGTTTAGTCCTAATGCAAATAATTGTTCAACCCGTACAACACCAAATGGGAAACAAAATGTAAAATAAATGATATCTCCGCACGGGGTTTTAATAAAACCGTCGGCCGACGTGCGGGGCGCAATATTTCGACCTCGATGCAAATCCAGAGAAAAACGCGATTTATGCTATTTAAATAATGGAATACGTATCGGGGCGAAAACGCAATTTGACGAACAAACACTGAAAACAGTGCGGGAACGCTCGGCTATTTTAACGATGAAAATAAATATTTACTTTTTGGGAAACGTTTCATAATATGTACATTTTAAAAATGTGGTTTTGTTTGGAAACCATATACTTCAAGTCGATGATCATTATAAAATTAGGGTATTTTTCGTTTTAAATTAAATCATTTACCTAGAGTACTTCATTGTAGGGTATGTCATTTATGGCGGTATAATAAATTTCTTGTACTTCAAATTATGTGAATATACCTTATTCTCTTTATAAGTTTTTAGGCAGCTTTGTGTAGGTTTTTTGCAAGTTTTACTGATATGATCTAATTGTTTATTGTAATCTACGGGTTACTGCCACGAATAGTTACATTCACCATTTATCTATAATACCTGCTATAGGATTCAACCAGTTATAGTCGAACTAACATAATTTAGATGATTTTTTGTTATGCAGGTTGCAGAAATAATTGCATCCTTGTTCTTGTAGTTTTCGAACCACTATTTATATGCTAAATCAGCATTGTCTCAGAGATCTTGAAGATAGATTGCTTATAGTGACCGCAAATCACCATCTTTATCATTGTTGTATGTCTTTTAATAAATACTGCATTGCCGAATTATTGAAAGTTAACACTGATCAAACATAACAACTTGAAAAGTAAATATTACTACTTTCGTAAATTATTTGTTTATAAAGTGTTTACAGCTGAGGATCCAAACAAAGAAAATCACGCGATATGAGGATTGACTTTGTTACCAAACTCATGATTTATAAATTTACAGCAAAAGTTTTCTAAAATTAGAAGATCAAACAGCTTACGATACTCGTTAACTATATTTACACATTTTTACAGTCTGTATTAGAAATTCTAAGGATGTTCAAATCAAGGAAACTACTGTACATTCCAATGTTGTTGCCTATACCTTATTTTATTGTGTAACTCAGCAGGATCTTATTTCCTTCTCATTTGTTACCTTATTTTACGATGATTGTGTAATTCATATCTTTGTGTTTTATTTTCCACAGGAGACAGAATACGCGAATATTTAAGTTTCACCCGAACGCGTTTGAGATAATAGCTTTTCCAACAAATTCTTTTGGATTAAACATAGATTTTTCAAATATCGTTTTATGACTTTATAAGTTGTGTGTCTAAAGTTGCCTTAAATAGTACCCTTTATTAGTGTGTGTAGAGATGTAGAAACCGCTTTCTAAATTAAAGGATATTAGGCGAGTAGATAGTAAGCTTTCCGTTCATTGTTGAATGTTTCTCTTTTTAGCTATTGTTGCACTTTCTACGATTTTCTGTGGAACCTAAAGGTGTGTCTTAGTATGTCTGATTAAATCTTCATTGTGGTCGTTTTTTCAGTTTTCTTTTTTAATTTTTCATATGCTGGGAAGTTGAACTTCAACTTTCATACCATCGTATATGAGATCCTTGATTAATCCTTGATTATCATCAGAAAAAAAGTACAAATAAACCCAACCCAACCCTCACATATTTTTTGGAACTCTTCTAATATTTTTGAAAATTGTTATAAATCTCAGAAATACTTAGAAATCTCTCTCTCTAATTACTTGTAAATCTTATAATATCCTCAAAACCCTAAGAGTGTCACAGAAACTCACTAAAATCTTTCAAAACCGTAGACAGTCTTTAGAAATTCTTGAAACCCATAAAGAAATGCATGGTAATCTTTTAAAAATTCTTGGAAACGCACTGAAAGACGTCAATAAAAACCTTTAAATTTCCTAAAAACATTTTGAAAATTCTCGGATATGTTGTGATCATCTTGAAAATGATCCAGAATTCTTGGAAATAGTCAAACGTTCTTCATTTTACTAAAAATACTTTAAAATCTTTGACAATTTTGTAAATATGTAGGTACATGAAAATCCTCGAAAATACATGAGTACCCTTTTGTGTACAGTAACTGTTTAGTAACTCATTGTCAGTGGAAAATAATGTGATATTTTTTTATACATTTGGAAAATCTTAGAAATATTTCCAGATTCATTCAACGTTTTCGAATTTGAAAAGGCACATGCATCTGAACTAAACAATTTAGAAATCACATAATTCTTTGAAATTCTTGGAAAATTTATTAGAATTTTTAATTAAATTCTTAAAGATCTTCCAGTACTCCTTGTAAAACTAGATCTTTCACCAATAAAGTCCAGGAATTCTCAGCCGTTTTTTTGGAAATCTTTTGAAATGATTGAAAACCAACCAGATACAATCAATAACGGGAAACTAGAAGGCTAGAATATTTTCGGAATCTTTCTTACCTCCCTTTTTGAATACTGGTATTATTGTACTTTCTTTCCATTCGCTTTTTGTTTGCATGTTGAGCAGTCCCTCCATACCGTATTCTAGCATCTCATTCGATATCTCATCAACATCTGCAGATTTTTGACTTTTTAATTTAGTGATTCTCTGTTTTTTCTGACTGGCTTTTATCTGTTTCTTAGCGTATTCCAAATTTTTCTTTATCCTCCATTGAGGATATTCATATTCCATATCGTTTATATATCGATTTTGTTGTTGATCCTATTTCTTGTGAGTTTGTATTCCTCAAATGTTATCAACTGAGATCAGCATTGTATACAGGATGTCTCACGTAACTGGTTCGTTAGAACTTTTTCAGGTCCCACTATTGAGAACTTTAATCTAATCTTAGTGAGACTTCAATATCTAATGACAACCATGGTTTTGCATTTGATTTGTTGCCATTGTTTTTGCATCTTAGCTACCTATCTTAGCTGTCTATGCTCTTGTGAAAGTTATATTTTAATTTGTGCCAAGTTGTATCGATATTGTAATTGTTTTATATTTTTTTTTGAGTCTCTCTTTGTATTAGGTCTTTGTGAATGGGTTATTGGCGATTCTTCATTAAACTTGTTAGTCTTTTGGAGCGACTGTTTTCTTATATGTTATATTTTGCTCGTTATTTTACTAGGTTGTGGTTGATTGCAGCATTTGCTGATGTTTGATTTCTGTTGGTAACAAATTTGTGTACTGGTTTGTGGAGGTAATAATAATGTTGTTGATTCTTCATTTCTTAATAGCTGTATTAACCACTTATTATGTAGGTAGGTTTTATCTTCTGCAGATCCTGTGTCACTTGAATTATTCTGTTATTAATATATTTTGTATTGCTGATATTGTTTTCAAATCTCTCCTGTAGCAGGAATTAATACCAGAAGCTGCTCTCTCGTTCTTATCTTTACCGCTTTACAAAGATACAAATCAGAAAAGAAATCATCTTGTTTCCACTCATTGCAAAATCCACAAGAATAGATTAAGATCATAAAAAATTTCACTTGCATACATTTCAAACTATGCTTGCATCACATATAGACTAAACTTGGAGATAAAAAGATTTGAGTAATAACATCATAGCATCTGGTATACAAGTTTAGTAATGTTCTTTCGTCTTAATACTTTAAGATTAGATAAATATAAAATCAACCACCGGCATTCTCGGGGAATACCCCAATTTGGACCCGTATTAATTAGATACGGTCCGGATGACATTTTCCCATCTTATCTAACAATTTCCATAATGTAACTATGAGAACGCTACTCCATCTATCCGATAATAGGTCGCTGTTATTTAAATTTAGTTAAAATCCCGGCAGTCTACCTATCATTCATACTAAAAACTTGTTTTATCAGGAACACTTAATTGATATACTAAAACTTTGGCTCAATTGAAGCAAAGAAATTTCGAGTGAAAAGTTTTGTGTGTTAACAACCAATCACAAGATAGGATCTTGATTTGTTAATTTACTACATTTTATTAATTTTGATTTCATAAAGAGACATTTTATAACCATACATATTTCTGGTCGTTCCCATCCTAATCTTTTCGTATTACGTCTCCGGAAACCGATTAATCACGTTCGTTAGTGACGCGTCCGCGTGACGCCGCACGGTTGATCTTCATTACGCGACCGGCAGGCCCACGGGCCTCCTTGATGCGTCCGTCGCCCCGTACACACAATCCATTCATCAAACGGCACGATAAGCTGTCACGCGTCGCCGCGAAGGAGAACCTCTACGTTTCTCGTCCGTCGGCCTGGTTCTATGCAAATGAAGGAGTCCCAACTGCATCAGTGAAGCGGAGGTCGTTTCTGGACCGGGTGGGTCCGGTTTTATCAATCGAGACCGTATTCGGTAAATTAGTTTAGATGTTCACTTAAACGGTCTCGTCGTCGTCGTCGTCGACGACGAACTGACTCCAAACGAATCAAACGTAAACATTCCACGTTGATTTCGACTAATAAGATATTCTTGTATTTGCAAATTTTTGATTTTTTTTTTTTTGCATTTTTAATGTGTCAATAATCGAGGAAATACATTAACCACTGAAGTGTTTCTATCTCGACGTGGTTCATGGTACACTGGCCATTTTGAATACAGAGGGGAAGCACTCATGAAGAACTAATTTCTGAAAACAGTCACGCCAGAATAATAATTTCGTTTGTTTTTTTTAAAGAATCGAAAAGCACGAGCTTTTACCTCTTGAGCTATTTACGATTACTTGTTGATTGTTTATTCAACTACGTCTCATTAATGTTACAACAACAATGGCTCCGTTTTAATATTCAAACGTTTGTCTAGACTTTGGACGCCTTCGGGGATGTTTACGACTCACACGGTTTCTAGAATTTATCAGTTTCTCTTCGTTTCAGGTGGTTTTGTCACTTCGACGACGACAATTACGTGAATGTGCCGAGGTTGGTGCGTTTCTTGGGTGACTACAATCCTCGAAAGGATTGGTACTTGGGCAAGCCGAGTATTCAGGCTCCGTTGGAGATCAACAGCAAGGACAAGGGTTCGGTGAGTAGACGTTTTTTTCTTTTCGCTATAGTAGGGTCTTAAAGGCCACCCTCTCTCTGGTTATGAGAGGGATTTATAGTGCCCATTAATACCAACGCCACCGATCGCCTTCTGTTTCTGTGCACTCGAAGCCTCCACGATCAATTAGAGATAAATTTATTAAGGTCGTTCGTGAAATTCAGAGATACGCTCTCGAATTGATTGCGCGCCATTATTTCGCTGCAAGAATCCGTGTGCACGCGAAATGACCAAGATGCAATCTCGGATCGTGTTGGAAATTACACATTTCTGTGGCAAGATAACATCTAGGGTGTTTTCAAGGAATGAAAATCAACTAGCTTTTGTTGGGTTTTTTTGTTTTATTTTTGTTTAAAGGGATATGTCACGTATCTCATACCTGTTATAAACATGAATTGAATACAAATCGATTAAAGTTATAAAATTTCTTTGGAAGGATTTCCAGGTGTTGGGATTTCCACAGTGGATAATCGTTAGTCAACGTTAGTAACGTTTTAAAATATTCTAAGACAGTAGACAATACTTAAAGAGATTTGTTATGGAGATTGGTAGTATTTCACAGTAAATGGTCGTATCAATCTTCATTTAAACGATCTTCTGGGCTGAGAATTAGCCGCCTACGAATCCAACCGGTCGGCATTTTCTGAATAGGAATTGAATTAGCTGATGTCGGTTCGTTTTCTTCGGGCTAATTAGCGGCGTTTAGTATGCGAAACGAAGGACCAACTGCCTCGCCCACGTAAACGATTTTTAATTCTCCGTTTGTAATCGACCACTTAAATCTCCCAGGAATGACAATTTAAACCGTCTATTTGCCGGAATATTCCTGCTTTAATGTTAACGCGTTTGATTAAATCTAGTAGCACCCTTTGGGCTTTTAAAAAATCCTTTCGTATTACGAAACTGTGCGTTGGACGTTATAATTTAAAAACATATTAATCTCTCTGCTTGAGCTTGCTTGCTTGGGCTAATGAACGGAGACACCTGTTCGTAATTAAGGTGAAATCTCCCTTCAGGCCAAACCGGGAGCATTAATTCGCCTAATTTAACTCTTCCCGTCGATATACACACAAAGGATTGGCCTTCTTCTTCTTCGCTTGTCAGAGCTTGGGAGTAAGTATAAGTAGATTGGGCAAAAAGGCTATTGAGAAGCGGCAGGCCTCGACAGGTGCTCACCGCTAGCTGTCCGAATAAACGCCCGGTTAAATAGTACATTAATCGGTGTAGAGAAGACTCAACCTGACATACGCTTTGATTTTCGGCCTTTTGGTTGAAGACGCCTCAGGATAAACGTGATGTGTTCGGTGTAATCACTGTAATAAACACTCTTTTTATTCTTTTATTCACGGGTTCTTGGAATTTTTTGGAAATGTATCAGTTTTTTTTAATCATTTCTTTTTCTTTTGTACAATTTTGTATGTGAACCAAAAAAGTGATTTTCAATCATAATTTCTACTTGGTCATTAAGTTTCACCGAAGTTTTAATATATTGATGATAAAATCGTGATTTAATGTTCAAAATGAATGCCTGATAACGTTATTTAATCGCATTTTGTGGAAATTATCGCCATTACTATAGCTAATCGGCTTTTACTTGCAATCCATAGTTAATCAGTTTTAAGGATAATGGATGTGCGCGTTGCGTTATAGCCAAGAAGCATTTTAAATTTATTTCCTTTATACTTTGCGGTTTATTTCCTAAGCGTTCAAGCGTTTATTTTTGGTTGTTTTAACTCGCGTATACCATAGCTGGTAATTACTAGGATAGCATATAATCCCCTTGATTGTAATTTATCCGCTCTGGTGTGTTATTTCATGAGCAATTGCATGGCAAACGTTGGTGAACCCTTCCGGCCACTGGTACAAGAGCCGACTGACCAGAGGCGGGTCCATCCGAGTGGAAAGAACGGACGCATATCGGTAGATGCGATCGAGCACAGGCCGCTGGCCTCCGGCCAGGAAGCAAAATCTTGATGGCGTCCTACCTGGTGAAAGGGGGGCCTCTTTTTACCAATTAATGGATTCCGCTGCCTGCCGCCACCGCAGCAGGAACCCGCTCGCCTTTTTTTTTGCCCGGCAAACTTAATTGAATCGCCGCGCGGATTTATTGAATCAATAGCGTCTTGTGTAACGCGCCCCCATTTAAACAGCTTCCGGCAAACTTAGTAGTAGTAGTAAACGTTTTGCAATCGACAATTTAAATAATTACTGAAAGCGAAACCGCCGTTGCAGAGATCTTATTCCCATCAGCTTTCAAACACTAACAATTATAGATAGAATACGAGCGACGGGTTTCGTATCTGTCGTTTCGTTTTAGTTCGTTCATACGGTCATGGATCGTTACTTCTTCGGAACGTATATCTCGCGTAAACAATCGGTTTCTGAGACAAATACCTTCCGCGTTTTCTGTATGAATACGTTTTCGTTTTCTCTTTAGATAACATTAGATACGCTTAAATTAACAGTTAAAATAGGTTAAAATATCACTTTTTTATTGTTGCATTTTAATAAATTTTTAATAAATATGCACACAAAGGCACAAGATTTTATTACTTATCTGAATAACAAAAGTTATTATTAAACGCAATTATTTCTACATATGTATATTTTCACCAAAACACAATATTATGGGTACATTTTGGATTTCATACCCATGGATCATGGTCAAATGTACAAAATTCTATTCTTCTTTTATAGTAGTGCTTTCCTTTTTTAATAGTCTGTGATAAATTATTTTCTAGGATGTTAGAACTTACTAAATAAATTAGCTTGCGTGACTTTCAACTTGCTATTTTAAAGACTGCAAGTTTCATCCTATTGAGATACTCTATTTAAATTGTATGGCAGATAAAACCTTTTTTTTATCTATGGGAAGACTCAACTGCTTCTGTTCGCATAATTGCGAAATATTGAAACTCCAGGCACTTCTCTAATGGTTAAACCCAGCTATTCAGCTACCATTACATTGAGGAAGCGCAAAGAAGCAAAGGTTTCGCAACTATAGCTGTACACAACAATCTAAAAATCTGTGATTTTTTATGATAATCTCCAGGTACGTTTTTTATCAAAACTTGCTTTGAAATTGATATTCAAGCAGTTCTAATAAGTGAGGTAAAAATATAACTGAAGGTTGGTAATGATCTGGAAATGCAGAATCTTCCTAGGATCTTCTTATGGATTGTTTCAGGAACAGGAAAGCTGAATAGTTGATCTAACGATAAGTTGGGGCTATTGAGAGAAAGTTGCGACAATCTGCACCTTAATGAACGCATCTACTGGGACTGGCTAAGACCCCGTAGTCGTGTTAGTACTATATCTAATTACTAATTAGCTCGCCATACTTTTAGAAAGCAGTTATAACAATGACATAACTGTTTTCTTGTTTGAATAACGTATGATTTATACAGCAAGGAACCCTACCACAGTTTTATCACATCTATCAGAAAACAAGAAAGTGTGAGGTGGAATGAATCAACTTTGATATCGTTTTGACTGATATAGTTGTAAATATTAGCCTCTCGAAGTGGTCTATCTGTAAGTCAATATAGTAGTGCTATTGTAGAGTTTATTAGAGTTCTTTATAGCGCTAGTCTCTAAGTTAATAACAATTAATTTTATTTGGATGGCAGCTATGCTGTAAGATCAGATAAAAAATCAGGTAAAAAAGCTGGGTAGTATAATCTGTGCGAATTTCAAGCAGAGACTGCCTTCCCATCATCCCAAAGACGCTTAGGTTCGCACCAATTTTTACAGTAAGCTACATTGGGTCAAATAGGTCTCCATACACGCCACAATATTTTTAAGTTATATTTCTAACTTACTTAATATAAACTTTAGGACAAAAATATTATTGTAGAAAATATTGTAATAAGTAATTTCATCAATAATCATTAAATGTAAATAAAAATTACGGACTCCCAATATGACGTTGGTTTATTAACATATGTTTTAGCTACTCAAAAGTAGATAATGAATGGATCCATTGGGCAAGCTGGGTTTAACCAATATGATGAAGCCAATATGATTTTACCAATTGCGTTCATTGTAACTTCCATTATTGTAACTTCTTTGCGGACAACCTAAATGCGCAATTATTGATGATTATGTTCAGCTGAATAAATGCGTGTTGATTCGATGTTTTAATTGTGAGATTTACATTTTATGTTGAAACATCTGTATATAATTTTGTTTATCCAATTACCAATTATTTCGATTACATGGTGTTTACTGTTCCGAAAACTTTCGTATAAATTACTGTAAATTATTACAAATATTTTTTGGAAAATTAAATTAACAAATTTAAATTATCGGCATGTTTGCTCGGCGTAATTCAACAATAAAAATTGGCCATTAAAACCCACATTTTATAAATCCATAAAAAAAGTGTACGTTGCGGTTATGAAACATTAATGCATGAAGCTTTTATGTTATGAGTAGCTTGTTAATTTGCGAATATTTTAGCTTAAAATTGGACTGCACAAAAAATAAAGATCAAATTAATATTTGCATAACGAAAACGTACAATTTTCGTAGTAAAAAGTACTTGCATTAACTTGTGATCGTTTGTATTATACGTCATTTGAAAGAGGAGAAAATTTCTTCTTAGGCTTATGTGTAACTGGAGTTTTGTCCTTATCGTGAAAGAAAGTTATTGTCCCGGAAAGGGTTTAAAGCGCGGTGAAATCATGTGTTGTTAGATGTTTCTTGGTATAGAATTTTCAATTCACCTATAAATAATATATTAATTTGTGTATTAATTTTATCTCAACTTTAATTTTTTTTTCTTTTTATTTTTTAACGCTCAAAAATTTCTTCTGAAATGTGACATAAACGTAAATGCTAGTTTCTAACGTTAGTGTTCTACTTTCATGTGGGACTTTAGTTAAGGATAGTTTGGTCAAACACATTCCTAGGATAATAGCATTTGACGAAAGACAAATATCGTCTTGTCATATGGCCGGACGGATATCGTTAATGGCTAC